CGAAGCACCGGTCGCGGTGCGCAAGGCGGTCCCCACGCTGTCGTGCACCAAGTATGTGGAGCCGCTCTGGCGCTGGCTCGACGCAGCCCAAGTCGCTGTCGGTGGCGGCCGTTGCCAGCCTCTTGTGGCTCGCCCAGTTGGACGCCGCCATGCCTCTGGACGCCAAGCTCATCGAACGTCTGTGGCAGCGCGCGGGGCGGTTCGCCGTGGAAGGCGCCTGGGCCACTGCTGCCGCCACCCGCCTTGGCTCTCGTGCCCTACGTGGCACTCTCGCGCAAGCTCGTGGTTCGTCAAAAGGCGATGACCGCGCGCCATCTCGCGGCGCTGACCTATTTGCACGCACACGCGCCATCGATGGTGCTCTCGTACGTGTCGAAGCTCGTCGCGCGCGTTGCCAACGCGCCAATCCTCCAAGCCAAGTGGCGCCGTGTCCTTGACGAGCTTTGTTGTGCGATGCAGACGACCTTTCCGACGGCCATGGATGCACTGCTCTCGCAGGACTGGAAGCGCCCGCTCGAGACGACAGGCAAGGAGCCACCGCCGGCGCCACGACTCACGCGACACGACGTCGAGATAGTCGAGATGCGTTGGATGGGACGAGGATGACGCTAAACACAGTGCGGTGCATTGAACCGACGATCAAAAGCATCGACTGGGCGTCACTGGGAGAACCTTGTTACTACGTAGTGTACATTCTTCGATAAGGACACCGAATGGTAGGTGGCTGGCAGCAGAAGGGTGGGGACCGTAGCTCGTAGTACAAGACACATTGAGCTCTATTGCTTCTACCGTTGAAATCGCACGCAATAACTACCTCGCCAGCGCAAGGCTTGAATGGGTTGCTACTTCAATCGAGGCGTCGATGGTCGTGTCTATTGATCGCGCTTCCTGCGTGGCTCCTCCTGTATCTCCTCCAGCACTACCTTCTTACAAGCGTTGATTGCCATGCATCCCAGCTATTAGCACGACGCCTATCTTTCCATCCCGGCATCCTCTCGACCCCTTGCTTTTGGCGCGCAAATTGCCAGTTTCGGACAATAATGTATCCGGTATTAGCGGCATCTGCCACCTCGTGAATGGCGTGGCGGTGCCGAAAATATGCTCGCTTGCCAAATCCGGAAGCCGAAGGCTCGGTCAATTCATTCGCGTCGCTGTTGAAGTGTGGTCCATGGCCGGTTCTTGCCCAAACAACCCCACGCGACATTGACAACTTGTGCACAAAGTGATCGACACCTTGTGTCCAAGCGGAGAAATATAAGGGGATAAATAACGTCCAAAACTAAACAAACTGCGGGAACCGGCGGGACGCTGCCTCCGACTTGCGCGCTTCGACGCAGATTTCGACAAAGCACACGTCGCAGACGCGGACCGGCTCGGACTCGTCTTCGGCGCCACACCCGACGAGGCACGCGCGGCGGTTCGAGTGTTCTACCCATCCAATCACCCATCACTCCCTCGACTCGATACATTGATACTACTCTACCGTGGCAAAACGAGTGGCCGCAGAGGCGGCAGTGGTGGCGACGCGTAAACCAGGTAAACTCGGTCTTGCACTCAAAGCAGACGGCGTCGCGCGCCCACTTGGAGATGTCGCGCACGTGGTACGTGAGGCGGCTCGTCGGGCGGCGCTCGACAAAGTCCGAGGCCGTCGAGACCGTGCTCGGGAGGCTCGCGAGCGACCGCTTTGTGTGCATGCAGGTCCGGAGGCTGTCGACCTGGCGCTGGAGCTCGTCGACCCGCGAGTCGTACTCGTCCGCGTCCGAGTCGTACCCGAGCTCGTCCAACGGCGGGTAGAACGCCGGGCGCCACTCGGTCGACTTGCGCGGGTAAAACTCCAAGCCTTCGATCGAGTCGCCGCGCGGCTTGCGGACGCGGTCGGCCTCGAGATGCTTGAGCTTTTCTTTCGCCGCATGGAGCTTGCGGAGGAGCGTGCGGAGCTGCTCTTGGGCGCACTCGAGCGTGTCGGGGCACGGCACCGCGAGGTCGTCGACCATCGAAAACGCGTCTTCGCTCAAGGACGGTCGGTCCGCGTCGTAGCCGTGGACACTCTCATTGTAGTCGAGGAGCAGATTCGAGTACCGAATCTGGGTCGTGAGCAGCTGCTGCGAGAGCGACACAATCTGCTGGTGGGCAAACGCAAGCTCGTCAACGGCCCGCGGCACAAGCGCCGACGTCGTCGTCGTCTGCTGTCGAAGCAGCTCGAGCTCAAGCCGCAGCTTTTCATTCTGCAGCGTGAGGTTCTCGACCAGTGCCGCGGTCGCAGAGTCGGTCAGCACCGTCGTCGTCGTCGTCGTCGTCGATTGTGGCAGCGACACCGTAGCCACCACCGGCGATGCGCCATGGACCACGGACGACACGGCGTTGACCACCGGCGACGTTCCGCGACGCGGCGAGAGTGTCGGTGTCGGCATACTCCGCTCCACCTCTAGCTCGGCGGCCCGGCGCCGGTCGTCCGCACGCCGTTGCTCGTCGACGGCAGCTTGAGCCTGTGCAAGCGCCTCCAGCTCGAGACGTTTGGCCGTCTCGCGCTCGGCCATCGCACGCCGCCAGACGGCACGCGACCGCCAAAAGCGCTGGCAGGCCGCGACCCCGCGGCGCAGCAACGTCCAGCGGCGCACCGCAGCGTACCGGCGCCACGTGGCTTGCATTCGCGTTGCGCTGCGTCGCTGCAGCCGGCGTCGCGCCAGCAGTTGCCGGGCGAATGCTTGCAGCGCGGCGATAGCCGCGCGCGCGATCGCATACGCCTTGGCGGCGCGGTACCCTCGATAGACGCGCTGGATGTGCGTCGCCGACGCCGACAGCTTTTGCCGCCGACGCAGCCGGAGCGTGTTGTACACTTCTTTGCGGAAAAAGATTTTCGAGACGCCGAGCTGGAAGCCCGCGCGGCCGCACGCGTCCTGGAACGCGGCCCGGTCGTACGTCAACGCGCTCAAGACGCGCTTGGCCACGTCCGTGTGGTCGCCACACTCGAGTAGCAGCGTGGCCGCAATGCGCTCGCACTTGGTCTTGATCGGCAGCACGGTCGCCTTGCGCGGCGACGACGGCAGCACGAAACCAAACTGCTCGACAAACGAAGCGTGGTCAACGCGCACCGCGTACCCGGCGCGGGCGATCCGGACCGCTTCGAGGACGCCGCCCGACCGGAGTTGCTGGACGACGCGGGCCTTGTGCAGACAGCGGGGCTCGGCTGTGTCGTTGGATTTGACGCACCGAATGTACCGCGCTTGCGTGCTGCCAATGACGCCAATGAGCTCGTCGAGCTGCGACTTGAACTGGGCGCTGACGCTGGCGGCGCGCAGACTGCTGGGCACGCGGGCGAGGCGTGGCGCCACCGCTGCTTTCGCCGGGACCTTGGCTTTCAGCAGCGACTGCACCAGCAATGACGACGACGCGTTGCAGAGGCCAATGGCTTCGGTCGGCAGCGCGTCTTGGTTCTTCTGAAGGAACGCGTCGAGCTCGTACATGACGCGCCCGGCGAAATGGCCAATCACAAACTGATACGCGACTTGCTGCGTGTGCGACGCGTAGAACGGTCGCGTCGGCTTGGGGCCCGACGGTGGCTTCTTGAGCTGGCCGCGCTCGGGGTTCGAGTGCCGGCGCGACTCGGAGATGGTCTCGTCCGGCGGCAGAAATGTCTGGTACAACTTGGTGATCCACGCTTCGTTCGAGCCCTTTGGCAAAATGCACTCTTCGTCGAGCAGACACCACATGCCGGCCGGGCGATCTTCGAGCAGTTGGAGGCACGGGGCATTGTCGGGAAACTCAATGTACTTCCACTCGATGCCTTCGGACGCGTACATGCGCTGCTCCTTGGCAAAGACGAGGTCGTTGAACTGCGCTTGGAGCCGCTCGTTGGCGTAGTTGATGCAGAGCTGCTCAAACCCGTTGCTGTGGAGGTTCTCGAACCCAAAGATGTCGAGGATCCCGATCGTCGTGACGCACGCGCGGTCATGGCAAATGATGTTGGAGAGTCGTTCGACAATGTAGAGGAAGAGGCCGCCGTAAATGCTCTGCATGAGCGACTGCTTGGCGTCCTCGGCTTGCGCCGCCGTGAGCTTGACCTCGACGACCTCGCGCGTCGTGTGGATCCGGCGCGTCACCAGCGCCGTCACCAGCGCCTCGGAGGACACCCCGAGGAGCCGCGACGCCGTTGACAAGTGGGCCGCGGACGAGGCTGCGATCGCCGCCATCTCCAAGTTGGAGGACGACGACGTCACGGCGTCAAAGGCCACGTTGCCGAGATGCAGAAGCGAGGCCACGACACTCAGAATCGTCGTCGTCTCGTCGTCCGGGACGCCCATGTCCCGAAAGGCTTGTGTCGTCAGGTTGAACTGCACCGCGTCGTCGACCGACCGCCGCTCGTAGCACTCGCTCTGGCTCAGAATCGCATAGTCTTCCATGCCACCCAGCTCCAGCGCGTCGGCGAGATCGTCGTCGGCGCCAGCGCAGAGCTCGTAAAAGATGTGAAAGTTGCGCTCGCCGAGCGACTGGTGGCTGAGCCGGATCTTCTCGAGGAGGTACACCGAGATCTTGGCGCCGACCATCTTGGCATCGGCGCCAAACTGCAGCGCGATAAACTTGCCGAACCGACTGCTGTTGTCGTTGCGGACCGTCTTGGCGTTCCCAAACGCTTCGAGGATCGGGTTGGTCTGCAGAATCTGCGTCTGAATGTCCGTGGTCGTCATTGTCGCTGCCACGGGTGCGGTCGTCGTCTTGAGCCGACTCTGTCGCTTGGCCGGCGTCT